AAACACAAAAGATGTGTTATACAAATTGAAAGATCCTTGGAGGGTCTCTGTGTCGCAAATAATGCATGTGATGTCATCATGCAAATGCCTCAACCTATATACTTGCACTGGACATTGGGATGCAAATATGTAACAGTAGGATTTGTGCAACGGCACCATCCTGTGTCATTCTGGCTTGCTGTTTATACTGTTTCAAAATGAAATTTCTGTGAGAAGCTGGGAAGTTTCTGTTTTTAGTTTAATCTAGGGTTACCTGATGTGGGCTACAAAAATCCAGATAACCAACTGACAGGAGCAAAGACATATAGTCAATTTTAATTCTCTCCTGATAGCTAGTGGATTTTTGCAGCTCAGATCCAGTAGCCATAAGTAATATTTGCTTAATAGCCAACTTAATACCCTTCAGATATTTTGCCATGAGCTACAGCCAGCAGTCAATGGCAGCGGATTGTAGGAGCTGTTGTCCAAACCATTTGGAGAATGAAATATCCAAAACCTTTCAACCATTGAGCTATACAGCTTGTTCCAAGAGTTCCCAGATTTGAATAAATTCCCCACTCAAAACAGGACCATTTAAAGAGGCACTGTTTCAAGTCTTTCAAGTGTGCTGAGTCCTGTGATTGGCTCTGGTTTTTAAAATAATGTTTCCACTATAGCCAGTGATATACAGAAACTAGTTCCATCCCTATTACTGACTCAGATGAAGGGTGGAAAGAAAGGGGGATGAGAAAGTAGTAGCCATAGTTATTTAAGCATATGCTCAGAGGCAGTTATCACTGATGGGCTCCAGGCACTGACTCACGTGGATCAGATAGGATGCTGCATCTGCATTCACTGGAGATTTAAGTTAACTAATCCCAAATATAGGAACTGAGGAAAATTACTCTTGGTGGCATGTCTGCCAGGTAAGTAAGTTAACTGCTGTTTTCAACACGGTCTTTGCTATAGAAAAGTTATGGTTCCTGGGTTTTGTTATGTCACCTTTTGAAGAAAGGTAGCTGTTATACAAAAAGGTATGTGCATGTGTGTATATGCATTACATAAACTTTGTTAATACTACTGAGGTTTTCAGTTATGAACACAAACACTGTATCATTGTCTGCCAAACTTTGGTGTATATGTAGGGAGTGCATTCTGTGCATATTCTTGCTGATTAGAGCTTTTTGGGGCATTCTAATGCAAGCCTGAAACAAGATGTTTTTCTATTTTCTGCAGATCTCTACTGGAGGATAATATGTCACTACCATCCAAATCGTAACCTGTATTTACTCCTAAATATGGTTAATGGAAGCAATGGCTAGGTTGTCGTATAATGTAGTATAAGTATGAATAAAATGACACAAGCTATGGTGAATCAAGAACAGGAGCTAATATTCTGAACTCTTCTTTACTGCAAATAAGGGGAAGGAAGCATGAGAGAATCAGGCTTAGTTAGGCTTACCATATAATGCTCAATTATGCTTTAACATTACAATTAAATCAGCACATAAACTATTTGGTGGCAGCATCTAGCAGATCCTGATTGATCTCAAAAAGCTAGGCAGGGACAGACCTGGTTAGTACTTGGGGTAGGAGACTACTGTATCTGGAAATACCTGGCTAGGCGGATAAGTAAACAAATATAGGGCTTGTAGGAAAATGCTTTTGTATTATTGCTAATAAAACTACATGGGTCTGAACATGAAATCACCAACAATCAAGCTCAGCTCAAAGGAGACTTTATTTCTTACCATTTGACATCAGAGCTTCTATCAGCTTTAGTATTCTCACTACACATCAATAAAAACTACCAAAACAGGCATCCCATCAACAGAACAAAATAAAATATACATCCCATTCATAATTTCACTGAAGTCAGGACAAGCATCTTCTTTAAATCACCTTTTCTGGAACAAGCTATTCACACATTAGAAAACTTTTTAAATATTATTTTTAGAACTTTGTGGCTAGAGTAGTGGTATGGCACTATTAAAATAAAGCACATCTCAAAACTTGTCAGTGCCTTAATCAGAAGCTACCTAGGAACTCCAAGGAAGTCATTTTGAACTTCCAAAGGATAGAGATGGGCATAGGACAACATTTAAATATTCTCACAATAATCTCCATTACTCCAATTTTGCAAGTTGAAATCTGAAGAAGAAATTGCATGAGGTCCACACTCATTCTGCAAATTCTTGAAATTGGTAATATTTAAAATCAGAACTTGAACTAAGAACACATGTGACACTGCAATGAGTTCCAGAATCAATGAAATACATATTGTATTAAAATGAGTCACCATATGAACTATTGAACAATCCATTTTTGATCTCTGTTCTTTAACACTCTCTCCAGGTAGCTCCTGATGATGAAAGGAAGTGTTCATCCAGCACAGAATACAACATCCAACAATGGTATTTCCTACCCTTAACAAATGACACCGGGAAGGTGAAATTGACAGCTTTGATTAGAGAAAAGACATTGACTAATTTTAATGCTAATTGGAAACCCCTTTTGGACTTCTTGAGGGAAACAGAAAAAAATGAATTTATGATATATGGATTTGATTAGTAAAATTAATAGAGTATAGAAAAAATGGCTGTTAAGTTGTAATCGTAGAGTAAGAGTTTAATGTATGTTTTACTTATATCTGCTGTAAAAGAAGTCAGAAGCCATTCTTTTTTTTGTATTTGTTTCTGTTTATCTTTCTGCACTTCTATTCTTCTTTCTCTTTATTCTTTCTTTTCTTCTATTCTTTTTCTTGATTATTAGTTCTTGTTAGTTTTTATCTTTGTTTTTAAAATTTAATAAAGTTATAAAAAAACAACTTATACTGGGAAGAAAATAAACAATCCCCTCCCTCTCAAGCTACCTGAATTATACTACTAAAGGTATGCACATGTTCTTTTTAATCTGGTTGTGGAAAATAATATGTGGCATAAAGTAAATTTGGAAGGGAACTGGCTTTTCTACTATCAGTTTTCCTTCTCTGAACTAAAGGATCTGGATTTTGTTTGGGGGTTGCAAAAATTTATTTAAACAAAATAAATACATATTATGGCATTCATCAAGCAACTTCACACATATTGTATCCAAAGTATAAAAACTAAACAGGAACATTTCCTCCTTGGCATCTTAACTTAATGTAGGATTTTTTTTAGACTTCACAAAGACCAGCTCAAGTTCACTTCTATTCTGTTCACTCAAATACTTGAAGTGTCAATCTGAAGTCTTAGGTAAGGAAGAGAGAGTAATACATTTGATAGATTCATCATGTTACGGCTCAACCTCGTTGCCTTCCCTATATTGGTGTTTTTGTGTGGAACCAGCTCAACATACACAGGTTTATATGTAATTCAGCAATCTCTATATCCAGGCTTCTAATTCACAAAGGACACTTATATGCATACGTGGGACAGGTTCCCTTTCTTCAACAATGCAGCCCTAACATGTAGTGGGTGGCAAAGCCTGGCCACTGGGAGCCTAATGGGGCAGCGGGGGTTACAAGCATATTCCCTCTTCCCCACCTTCATACAGTTGGAGTTTATGAAAAATGCATTAGAGCTTAAGTACTGACTTTAAACTTTAAAAAATACCACAATAAGATTAACTAGGGCTAATGAACTGTTGACATTATGTTGTCTGAAAGACAAGACTGAATATGTTCTCTTTGAGGTGAAGAACTAAATGTATCTTACAAATCAGTTGCCCTAATGTTGCTCATTTCTGTTTAACATAAAAGAAAAAAAAGAATGGGAGCAATAACTAGAAGGCAAATAAAAAAGCAAAACAAAACATGTTGCATTCAGAAAAGGGTAAAAATCAACACTGACCATCTAATAGTGTTTCTCAAACTTGGCTGCTTTAAGACGGGTGGACTACAACTCCCAGAATTCTGGGAGTTGAAGTCCACTTGTCTTAAAGCAGCCAAGTTTGAGAAACACTGATCTAATAGCTTTTGCTTTTCTACAGAAAAAGCTCAAGCATAATAAAAATGGCATGAATATTTATCATAAGCAGCAGTCAGATATTTACAAGACATAAGACTGCACAAATTGAATCCAAACAATCTGAGTATTTTTTAAGTTAATAAGTGTAAGCTAGTTAATGTTTCAGCATTACCTATCACACACTTGCCAACAGCACTGCTTTATGCCATTTTATACTGGATGTCAAAATAAAGCCTATGGTAACTTTTTAAAAACGACGTGGAAGAGCAACTGTACAGGCTCTACACAACACTGGTAAAAAATTAAAGTTGATGTCGCTGCTTATACTATAATGAACTATCTCACTATCACGTGATGCAGCCATTCATATTTCAGTACAATTTAAAAACTGCCACGGACCTAAGTCCACGGGCAAATTGTTCCTAATTCTCAGATACAGAAACTTCCAAGACAGTTCTCCCCTCTGTATGTGGTGGTGGGGGGCAGGTGGGGTGGGGGTAGTGGAGGAAAGGAGGCCTGAACTGACTAGCAAAATACCTAACTTTCAACGCGTACTCGAATCGGCATCTGTGGGCGGGGAGAACCGGTGGTTTAACAGCTCCTTAATTTGATTCACGAAGGGAATTCTCCCGTTTTTACAGCACAATCCTATGCTCTACCCCTCCGAAGTAAGTTGCATTGTGTCCGGCTGTGCCGATCGCCAAGAACGGGTGTCCGGGACAGCGGCCTAACGTTGCCCAAGCGTGCGATCTCGCCCTCTCGACGTTTCTTCCTCAGCACCTGGCGGGCGCTGAGCTAGACCGCGCTGCCGATAAAGGCCGGCCCTGAGGAAGTTCCAGCGGGCGTCCCTCGCTCAGCCCCGGATGGGAGCGCCTTCGCAGGGAGAAAAGCGACCTCCCCTTCCTCGCACTGGGGACAGGCGGCGTCTCCCCTTAAAGGCGCGAGGTCCGAGGGGCGCTGACGGACAGAGAGGCCTGCCAGGAAGACTGCTGAGGCCGGAACGACCCCTTCCGAGCGAGGAGGGCAGCGTGCGCCGCGCCGAGAACGGGGCTTGCCCGGCCGCCGACTTACCTGTCGTTTTCCGCTCTGGCCGGCAGGCTCTCGCGAGGCCGGCCAGCCCCGGACGCTGGGCAGGCGGATGGTGCTCCTTCAGCCGACGCCTAGGCTAGGCCGTGCGGCCAATGCAAAGGACGAGAAGCGCGCGGGGCAGCCGCCGAAGGCTAAGGCGGGGACGGCGCTAGGCCGAGCCAGGCGAGGCCTGGGAATGGGAAGGCCGTCGGCGCTCTAGGCGTGCGCGTGGCTGTCGAGATGGTGGCGGCTGAGTAGGGCCGCGCTGCGCCTCCGCCTTTTCCTCTCGGATCACCCAGAACGCAGCGCCACCATCTTGGAGGAGGAGGAGGAGGGGTGAAGAAGGGAAAAGAAAAAAAAGGCAGGAGAGACGGATGTCAGCCCGGCGCAGCCTCGGAGGACTGGCGAGAAGGAAGCTACGGCCCGGCATGCACTGCGCGCCGGGCAGCCGCGTGAGGGACAGAGCGGCGCGTGCTTTGGTATGCCTCTGCCGCTCTAGGGAGCTGGAGCCATAGAGTTTAGGAGAGAAAGTGGGCTGGCATGTGCTCCTTCCGCGCCCCTGGGCGGCTGTGTCAGTTGAGGCGTCGTCATTCCCCAGCAGTGTCACAACAGTTGGGCGGCGGAACCAATTAACCCGGGGGGGGGGGTCCGTTCCCTAAACAGCCAACCGGCCGAAACGCTTTTTCGTGGATTCCTGCACCGTGCAGGAGGTGGGCTTCGCGGGCCCTTCCAGCCCTCCGATGCAAGGGTCGTCGCCCTCTCTGTCCGTCCTCTTCCCCGCTGGCCTCTAGAATTTTGAACTTGCGAGCGCGAGGGCAGTTCCTCCTTCCAGGCTGGCGGGACGCAGGAGAGGCAGCGGCGCGAGGGCGGTGTTGCAAGAGGAGAGCCCGAGGGGTCGGTGGGAGCGGGGGAGCCGAGGGGCAATCGGGTGCCAGCCCGGGGAACCGACGGGAGTAAGTACGTGAGATCACAAGCAGTGTCTAAACAAGGGTAAATGTACGTGTCGATGCAATCAGTCTAGCATGAGCAATACTCTAGATTACTTTCTGTGGTGTGGAAAGAAAAACAGCCAAGTACTTTGGGATACTAGTTGAAAGCCTTACTAGGGTGCGAATTTTCATGGGCTACAGGCCGTTGCATCAGCCCGAATGCATACTTGGGAGGAAAGAGCACGAACTGAACAATTGTAGACCTATGTGTCATCCTTCTCTTATTAACTATCCCAAATATTGGATATAGATAGTAAACGAAGTAAAGCTCTGTAACTCTTCACTGGTGTATGAAGTTTTAACCTTTCAACACAGGGAGAATATCCGTGGGAGAAAGGTGGTGGTACTTGCTTTGTGTTTCTTGATTTGGTGGGGTGGGAGGGGAAAAGCTCTGTAACTTCACTGGTGTATGAAGTTTTAACCTTTCAACACAGGGAGAATATCCGTGGGAGAAAGGTGGTGGTACTTGATTTGTGTTTCTTGATTTGGTGGGGTGGGAGGGGATTATATCAAGAACACAACTAGGCTTTCCAGAAAATATTGTGTGTGTTAATTATAGAATTATCTAGGCAGTACATAATGGCTGGGAAAATTTCCTTCTATAGGGGTTTTGTTTTTATATTGTTGATAAAAGGCAAATATATGTCGGATGTACAATAAACTCTCTTGGGAATAAAATATAGCACTTGTGAAAAAGATCCTGCAATGGTAGTTTATTGCAAACTGAGCATGAGCTGGTGGTGTGATGTGTCAAAATCATGGGAGTAATTGTTCCACTTTATTTTGCCTTGGGCACAGCCCACCTCACTTACTTTGTCCACTTTTAGGCACACTACACTTGAAGAAGGATTTAGAGCAATTGGATCAGGTTCAGAAAAAGGAAAAAACAATCAGAAGATTAGAAGTTAAATCCTACCAAAAAAGATGGAAGAAGACAGATACGTTTAACCTTGAGCAAAGACTGAGGAGGGTTATGATAACATTCTTCAGCTATTTGAAAGGATGCCCTGTAGAAGAAGGTTAAGACCTGCTGTGGAAGGTCTTGCAGGATGTGGAAGAATAGATTTTAATTAATCGGAAGGCAGATCTTGATTGTATGTTAGAAAAAATCCTACCATAAGAGAGAATATAGACAGAAGAACTGATTACCCAAAGACATGGTGACTTCCCTTCAGTGGCTGTGCTTAAGCAGAAACTAGGCAGCTGTTTGTATGGAGTGGTTTAATTTAAATTCCTGTGCTAAGGGGATTTGATGGCTGAAATGGCCAATAGCATTTGTAAGATTTTATGTGCTTAGATTCTCAAGTATTGAGAGGTGTAATTAAGGAAGTCTCTCTAAATTTCTTCCATTTTGCATTCCCACTTTAAAAAATAATAAAACTGCAAGGGAATAATAATAATGAACAAAGTTTACTCAGTCCAGAGAATGTAGTGTTATCCTCATCTTATTTTTCTCCCCATAGTCACACTGAGATAACACTCGCTTATTGTTGCACAGTGCTGTCAATATTCATGGTATTTCTTTCAAACAATCCAAAATAAAATTGTACCCCAAGAAATGTTTTCATTTTGACATTTCAAGTACACAACAGAAAGAAGGAGAGTCCTAGGAACAAGAAAAATGGGGAAAATGAGGATAAAACAAACAGTAAATTCAGTTATGTGTCCTTGGGCCTTGTTTAATTGGGAATGAAAAACGATGGGTTGGCTAAGATTTCCCAACCCTGTGTCTTTAAAATACATTAAAATTCAACTGCCCACATCCGCAGGTAGCATTATGTAATCTCAGTATTTTAGAATAGCAAATATAAGCATGGCAAGGTGATGGTATTTATTTCATGGACTTACAGGGCCACTTAACTCAGTGAGTTATGTGGTGTACAAAATAAAAATAATCGGACAATGTTAAAAAAGAACAACCCAATATATAAAATATAACATGGCGACCAAATGGGGTAATTGGACAACCAAAAGGGGACTCCGCTCAACTGGATCCAAATACTTGGGGAAAAAGCCAGGTCTTAACAGCTTTTCTATAGGCAAGCGGAGTTGGGGCCTGTTGCATATCGGGGGGAAATCATTCCAGAAAACAGGCAGCCACAAAATGGCGTGTTTCCTAGATCTCATATGATGGCAATGTTTAAAAGAGGAAAAAGGATGGATGTTATTGGAATGTGTGGGGTGGGCAGATGTTCTTGGGTGAAAGCGGCTTCTCCAAGGAACCCAGTCCTATGCCATGTAGGACTTTAAGGTGATAATCAACATCTTGAATTGCACTCAGAAGCCTATTAGGAGGCAGTGCAGCTTATGGAGTACACTCACATGGGTGTAATGAGCTGCACCCATAACTACCCGTGCTATTGCATTCTGCACCAACTGAAACTTCTGGGTGGTCTTCAAGGGCTTCCCTACGTAGAGTGTGTTGCAATGGAAGAATCCATTTGGGAGGTGACTAAGAATGTGAATGACTATGAGCGAGGCCTTCCAGCCCAGGAACAGTGCAAATGGTGCATAAGTTATGCAAAGGCCCCCATGACCACAGCTGCCACTGCTCCCAGATCGCACACTGAGTCTGGATGGGACAGTGCCACTCTGTCCAGAACCAAAGATGGAAATACTCCAGATCCTGGATACAGGGGACCAGTATTCATAGCCACTCAATCTTGGCTGTATTTTTGCCCATCCACACCTTCAAAACCTGCAGCCACTTGAGAGAGCACATGATGTAAGTATGTTAGAGGGGTGGGGTGCTGGGTGGGGAGAAAACCAATGACATCCTAGGAGTAAATATTTGATGCATAGATGTTAAATTTATGGTTGATGCCCTTGGTCTGATGCCAGGCACGTAGAATGAATTGGGCCATTCACCCTATGAGTCATTTAGTACAGTTAAAGCTGGACCATGGGGCTAAAGTCTCTTAAGTCTTCCTATCCCAAGTCCCCAATGACCACTTAGGAAGTGTCACCTCCCCATCTAGTATATAGGCATGCTGTGGCTCACTAGGTCTCACAAAACTCCCCCACAGTATCCTTACCATATAATAAACATGTAGTAAGAAGATATATTTATTTATTTACTTGGTAAATTTATATAGCTGCCTATCTCTCACATACTGTATGTGGCTCTAGGCAGCATGCAAAGTTAAAAACAAAATGCCACAAAATAACTAAGAACATAACAGCAAAAATAATTAAAAGCAGTCTTGTCTCGTCTCATGTCAGAAATGCAGGAACTGGAAGGGAGATCATTATTAATCTAAATTTTAAAAAATTAAAAACTTCAATAAAAATATAGATTTATATAATTCTTGCCCAATGCTGGGCCATGTTGATGGCAAAGGTATTTCTGACCAGCAAATCATTCTGTGTGCATGTCGGTCCCAAGGGGCACTGCAAAAGATGGATAATTGTTTGAATAG